GGCTGGCATGTGGTGCTGGGGGATTGAACCGCAGTCCCTGTGCTTTGCCAAGCTTGTTCCAAGTAGGTGCTTTAGACCACTGAGCCATCTCTCCAGCCCAGCCCTGAAACTATTCTATTTGCCTCTTTTTAACTTGGCCTTTGCCTTACACTCATTTGGGAGATAGCAAACCTGATCAATCTGCAATAACTAAGGGATATTACTAACCCAACATACTGGTATTTGCACGGTTACAAAACAGGAAGTGTTATAAGTACTGACAAACCTGCAAGGTTACCCTGCCTACAGCATCAATGGTCCAGAAGTGTTATCTCACTAGTATGATCATTTGGCTATCTTTATCCCTCCTAGGGATAGAGGATGTCATGCAACACATCAAAATCTTAACTCATTATACTCAGCAGGCCTTAAATGGAACTGCAGCTGATCTCTATCTCCTAAATGAGGAAGCAAAATTAATGAGGGAGGTCGTCCCTCATAATCGGATGGCATTCTAACAGCAGAACACGGGGGCACTTGCACAATTATAAAAGCTGAATGTCGTGTGTACATTCCTGATCCTTCTGCTAATGTCTCAAGACCTTAGACAACAGGTTAATAACATATCAGATTTTGAAATTCCATGAACCCTCTCCTTACCCTCTTTAAGGAAAGCTATTATTGACTCCTCCTAACAGAAAGCCTTATTGGCTATAATTATCCTGTTGATTTTATTATTTGTCCCATGCACACTTAACTGTGTCTGTGGCCTTGTCATCTCCAGACTTAAAGGTATACATCTACCCAAGACAAGAATATCTGGGGTCTCTCAAAGGCCTTTAGACAGACTCTTTGTGAAGTATCTCTGACTGCCCTCTTCAGCTGAAGTAACCAGATCGGTCTTTGATCCTTACCCCTCCCCTAATGGCAGTCAGGAGTACTTCACAGAGAGGATACTATTACAGATAGCTAAGTTAGAAATATTGTAGGCAGGGGGTGGCAAGATAGCTCAGCAGACTAAATGCCTGCTCTGGCAAGCAGAAGGACCAGGTTTTGATTCCTGGTCCCGCCAGCCCCGCCCATAAACTGAGCCCACTGAACCAGTGACCGAGTCCGGGCATGGTAATGCATGCCTGTAACCTCAGCACTGGGGAGGCTGAAAACAGGAGAATCACTACAAGTCTGATCTAGAAGTGAGACCCTGAACCATTCCCTAAGGGGAAGAAAAAAAAAAAAACAGAAAAAAGTTAATAATGTGACCCAACAATTTTATGCCTAGGAATATATCCCAATAAAAGAAAAATATTTTCCTACACAAAAATTTGTACATGTTCACAGCAGCATTATTCATGATAGCCCAAAGTATAAAAATACAAATACCCATCAACTGATAATGAATGGACAGATCAAATTAATACATCTATAAAATAGAGCATTATTTAGCAATAATAAAAAAAGAATCAAGTACTGACACATGCTACAAATGAAGAAACCTTGAAAATATTATTTTTTATGCACAACAGAACACATATAATTCTAAGCATATAAAATATCCACAGTGGGGGCTGGAGAGATGGCTCAGTGGTCTAAAGCACCTACTTAGAACAAGCTTGGCAAAGCATTGGGGACCGCGGTTCAATCCCTCAGCACCACATGCC